CTCTCCCAGGAACTCAGGTATAAAGACACTTTTTGTTATTATTTCTCACATGCCTCTGAAAACAAATAAGCTAATTTCCCCATTGTATATAGTATGCAATCCTCCCACACATGCCTAAACAGCTTGCAGAATAGGTCAGAAGCTTGACTAAACATTTTTAATCCAAAAACAATTTGAAAACTCAAAAAGGTGGCAGAAATTTTTCTTCAACTATAAAAACATTGTAAAGAAAAATACAGACCAACTTGCCTTTCCAAGAGAGTCTTCAGAATACAAAATGAAGCAAAAAGTCTGGAAAGCTTTCTCTGCCTGACCCAGGCTGGGAAACAGAAATCTGATTTCTGAATTTTAGAGAAGTGCCTGAATTCCCATCCCAGCTTTTTTTACATCGTAAAACTGAAAAAATTCCCCTGGTCACAAGCCCCTGTTAAAGGATTATTTGAATCAGTATGAAACTTAAAATCTTTGGTGATATTCTGCATCCCTGGGAGTATCCTGATGCAGACCTATTGATGGAGATGTTTGTCTTTCCCTCTCTTTTCTCTCCACTTCCACAAAGATGTAAAGAAATAAGATTAGAATGTTTTAAAAATCAAGCAGGTTTAAAAGCTGAATTTTCTTGCTAAATAAAAACTTGCTAAATTAATCACCAATTCAGAACAATTTGTAATACATTACTTACAGCCAAAGTTTTTAGTTCAGCTTTTTGAAGTGAAATACGAATAAAGCTCAAAATTAAAATTACTTTGTAAATGAAGGTGACGTCATTTTATTTATTCCCTTCACCAACACACTGTAGAATTCGTGTCTAAGTAGCATATTTTTTTCAGAAATAATTTTGCCTGTGTATTCACTTTATCCTAAATACTCCAGCAGAAAAATCAAAATAATAATTCTGTACCTATCCTAGATACTGCCAGAAAAACTGGCAAGAGTTTGATCAGGTATCTGTCAAAGTTATTGTCCCTTTTGTATCATCTTCTTGTTTTGATATAATCACTTCAAACTTTGAAGTCAAAAACTATGTCCGAAATTATTTCTTCATTTCCATTTTGAGTTTGCCTAGTTAATAAAAATTACCTCGAGAAAACCTGAAGAATCAAGGATAAATTTATATGTCTGGGAGATGAATTCACAGGAAGTGCAAATTAACTTTTTAACAACAGGAAATCTTCAAGCAATTTTGGAGAGCCCATATGAGTTGCCTCATGCTTCCCGCCAGATTGAGCACACAGTGTTGGAAAGAAGAACTTCCAAGCCTCAGGATTTGCTGTCAGGAGCATCACAGTAGGACTCAGAAACAGCAGTCTCATTTCTAAAATCCCACTGCTGCAATTTTCCAGTAGGCTTTTGCTGTTCCATGTCCTGCACATGGATACCGCATGTTCCATTGTCCAATTCAGAGTAAGTAACTTAATCGCTTTCCAACTCCCCTAATTTTTCTTCCTAAATTGATTTTCTCTTTTCAAAGACCTTCCACAAGCTTTTTATTAAGCAATGTCTGTTTTTACATTTTATAAAACAATGCTCAAAATGAAAAAACCTACATCTTTGGTCCCTTTATTTTTTAAATTCTGAAGACATGTTTCTAAACTACTTTGCAGCCAGATTGAATCAATCTGATTCCTTCAAGAAGGCAATTTAGATGGGCAGTGATTTTGTGAAAGCTCAAGAGAAACAGGCATCACGTTACTCTGTTGAAAAAGTGCTAAACCAGCCAAGGGTCTGTCTTGAAACACACATAGGCTCTCTCTTACACTCCTTTTGCTACTTCTGCATTTTTCAAGTCTGTGAGCATTTAAATCTATAGTCAACACAAAAACTCAGAACTCCAAAGCAGCTCCATTAATAGGACCCCTGCTTGAGTTTGTTCACCGAACTTTGATGCTGAAATTTAATGCTAAATATTTAAAACTATTATTATAGTGTTATTATAGTTATGCATAAATCTCTAGCCTGGGAAGTCTCACAAGCAGAGACAATTAATTCAGCAACACATCTCTGATGAAAAGCTTGCCCAGCTATATACTCAGAGTTCAGAATTCCTTTACAGCTCAGTGCATTCTGCTTAACAAACGTTACAGTTTGACATGAAATAGCCCCAAAAAGTTCCTTTATGGTCCTGTTTGGAACAAGTATGAAGAAACCCGTGGCGGACACAAAAGAATGAAACATTCAGCAAGTGAAAAGAACAGTGGTCACGTCTGCGCCCTGAGTGGCAAACCTTTGTGGAGCCGATCCCTTTCCAAAGGCCACTGAAGAATGAATAAGCTGCTTAAGCACATTATCCCCTTATTCAGGTCAACACCATGCAAACCAGGACTGTGGTGCTTGTTTTTTTTTTAGAGAGTTCACACATCTTGAGAGATTAACATTTGCTACCAACTATTTCATGGCTTTCAAAACAGATTACCAAAAAACAAGTTCCTTCATACAATCCAGTATGTCAAACTGACACGATGATAAGGTACTTTTCCTCAATGACTTGGGTTTCTTTTGTTACCCAGCTTGTTGTCAAAGCTTAAACTCTGTTTTGTTCTTTTGGAAATTAAATCTCCCTCAAAACATAACTCTCCTTATTCCATGTTAGTGGGTTTGTTATGCATATCACGTGATACTGAAAAAGTTGATGTTTTTAGACATGTTATTTTAAGACTAAAAAAAAAAAAAAAAAAAAGTTCTGAAACATTTAGGTTTACCAAT